CGTGAGCTGCTTTGCGAGCGCTGTTGTCTGAAGTTCATGCACCTGTACGTCATGCCTTCATTGACGCCATCCGTCGTCGATTCCGTTCTTGCGAGTCCAACTTCACAGACCCTCCAGAAGCTTGAAACTTACTTCGTCAATGCTCTTGCCCCGGCGGCCGTGTTGCGCCTCGTCGTAGGCTGCGCATCGCTCCGAGATGTTTGGTGGGGAAACAATTCGACGCGCAATCACTCGGTCCGTCTGCGGGACACTGATGAACACCTCATCGCCGCCAGGGGCATTCTCACTTCACGAGGTGGAACGCTCTATGTGCGTGACTTGGGATTTCGTTTACTCCTCCAACACCACTAAAGCTTCCGGTATTACTAGCTCCCACCGCCCCCGTCCCGCAGCCCCCGGAGCCGCGCCGCGAGGACCGTGCGCGCGTCGCCCTCGGCGCGCTTGACGCGCGTGTCGAGGCCGCGGTCGTCGCAGAGCTGGCGGAGCTCGCTGACCTTGAGCGCCGAGAACTCGTCGCGGTCGTCGCGGGGCTCGGCCGTCGCCGGCGGTGGCCGCGCCTTCGCGGCTTTCGCGGCCTTGACGATGACGGCCAATTCGCGCTTGAGGTACTCGGTCCGCGCGGCGTCGTCGTCGAGCTTCGCCCAGTCGAAGTAGGGCACGTGGAGCACGCGCCAGCCCAACGCCCGCAACAGCCGCATCTTGAAGCGCGTGCGGCCCGTGGGCACGCGCTTCGCGTTGCGGAAGTAGTGGCGTGGGCCGTCGAATTCGACGGCGACGCGCCACTTCAAAGGCAAGAGAGCCACGTCCACGGACAACCCGTCGGGCAGTACCAATTCGTGCTCCACGTCCAGCCCCATGCCCTCCAAGCGCTCGGCGACCTCGACCTGGGCCCGGCTCGGCGACGCGTCGACGTCGGCCAGCGACGCGCGCAGCAGCCCGACGAACGCCGGCGGCGCGCGCGCGATCTCCGCCACGAGCCCGCCCATGGTCGTGCCGCGCCGCGCGCCGTACTTGGCGTGGAGCACGACCTGCTGGAGCTGGCGCAGCTCCTCCAAATTGAAGCGCGAGCCGTCGAGCGCGCCGGGGTCCGGCGATTCCCGCGCCTCCTTGACGATGGCCCGCCACAGCAGCAGCAGCAGATCGCCGT